TTCATCGCCTCGCGATTCTCCAATAAGACAACAGTTACGAGTACTCTGCATGCCGATCATTTTTGCATTTCGTTGTGATAGTTCTCCAACACGACCAGTTGTGACTAAATATCACAGGCGAAATACAGGATGATCAGCATGCAACGGACTCATGACTGTTGTCCTGTCCGGATATTCGCAATGAAATCGCGTCAACTCTGCCCGAGGCCTTACGCATCCGAGGTGTCGCCGTTTTCTAAAGTGCGATTCATGATTATACGGACACCCAATATTACGAGTTTCAGGGCTTTCTGGAAAGAATGCAAAAAAACTGGTCCTGCACAAAAGAGTACAGCCGAAAACGGTATATGACATAAATGGAAACTGGTGTCAATCTTAGGAATGTTTTTTGCCCGAATGCGAATTTTTAGCCATCTATAAATGTACGAACATCTCAAACAAAGCTTGTTTTCTCACTTAAAGCTGCAACTTTCCCCGTTAATTTTTTGTAGACCTACAGCAACAAAGTCTGAGATATTCTGCTGCACACTGATATCCCAGTGCAGTTCGAAAAGGAAAGCATAACTCTTCTTATGTAGCTAAAATGCCTTTGAAGTCAATGCGCTCCAAAAACGTCTGTTTTCTGTGACCTGTTTTTCTACTTACAAGTAGTCACGTTTTTGAGCTACAAAACTCGATCACTGATGGTCTAAAACTTCTATGTTGAAGTCATCACATTGCCCGGATGGTGTTTCATTTGTGCAGCTGTCAAATTTTTCCATAAGGTCCAAAGCTTTTCCCGCAGATTGGTCTTGCGCGATGGATCTGACTATTTCTAAATTACTCCTTCCCTCCTGAACTGTACGCTTGGCTAGCGAATTTCTGAACTTTTATGCATTCTCCCGTATAATCGAAGGTGGAACTGAATCGCAAGAGTTTCCTGGCAACTTAAACAGCTTACCATTTGTACAACCGACGCACTAAGCACAAAAAAGAATATTTCGGGCATCAGATGAATTTTGCGGGTTAAAAGTGCATCCTGAAAAATGACGTTTTTTGCATTTTTTTTGCATTTTTCACAAGAAACGCAACTTTCCATAGAAAAGCCCGATCGATCAGCATGAACTTGGCACGTTAGAGAGAGCAGCTTGAGAAAACAGCAGGAAATCTTTTTTGCCAAGGAGCGAGGTAGATGCTATTAGAAACTATTACAGAGTTTATACTGTAAGCAAATACGCGCACGTAAGGAGCAGTTATGAATTTTTCAAACTCAATGCAACATTTTTTGGAAAGTATTTTTGCATGAAGCGTTCTAATATTTAAAACTACTCCATTCAAAAACTAACAAATACGTTACGACTATTTTTATCCTATTTACACATTTGACTTTTTGCTCCAACAAACGGTCATGACTTTCACGCAGAAACACTCGCAGATTAGAAAACAGATTTTGAATCAGCATTTCATGCCCATCAAGATGGTATAATGCTCGGTCGCCGGAAGCAGAAAACGACAGACGGAGGTAAAAACTTGAAGGAGCATCTAAAATTGAATTGGTTTCGACCGTATTTCAACTTTGGAAGCTAAAGAGTGTTTTAACCTGAACTGTGTATTTAATTCTTTTGATTTAAGATTGGCGACAGAGAAGTTCATGTTATCTAAGACACTTAACGAGAATCTCTTATTTTCGAAGTTATCACTGCAGTGATTTTTTCAAGTGAAGCTGCATCCATGCAGATGGTCCGTTGGTGAACATTTGTACATTTATTGAGCAAGCTAAGATCTCTTCTAAGCATTTATATGTTTTCAAATAATCAGCCGATCAGGAATTCTGTCGTCTATGCCCACTAACTTCCTAAAAGGTTATGATTAGCTTCTTCGGTCATATCTACTGCGGATTTGTGGCGTGGGACCCATTTGTCAAGAACCTTTACTAGCAGGCTGTGTTCGTAAATATTGACACAACCCTTTCTAACAATGCGCTTTCTGAAACAACATAAAAATATGATTTACTAAGTGGCAACGGCGTAGTTAGTTACCACTGGTTACCATACAAGAGGTGTTGGTTAGCATAAAGTTGAATAATCTTTCTTTGTGTCGTCCTACTGCCAGGAAAGGTTCATATAAATTCAGAAAACAACAAAGGAAGACCATTTCCAGCTGTTGTGAGCGCTTTGTGCACCTGTCTCTCGTTCGTAAGCAAAAGCATGAATCCTCATGTCTGCTTGCAGGTAAGTAAACTTTCACCTGATATACGTACTCTAAACGCATCCGGCCGATTACTTCTCACTTTATGCTGCAGATTGAGAAAGAAGAAAAAGATTTGAGATTCGATCATTTCAATTATTTCCGCAAAAAATGTAAAACTTTGCAGAAAAACCCAGAAACAACAGTACACAAACTACTCTTTATAAGTGATTTATTTTGTGCCAATCGGACGTCTAAAAAGTCATGATTCCAGTTTAAGATAGATATTGTTGATTAAATTTCGTCATTTCTCGCAGGAAAACATAGCTTTTTGAAAGCGTTGAAGCTGGACAACTTTTCTCGGTCAAAAGCAGACAAAGAAATAGGCTAACTTACAATAAAGCTCCAGTGAATTCTTGTTTCCATCTATCTTCGCAATTGTTTTGAGTAGAAAGTCACCAAAAAAGTACTACATGGTGGAAGGTGTTTCTTTTCCAATTTGTAACAGTGCAAATCGTTCAAACATGAAAAGTTAATCGTTCCAAAATGGAACAGCAAAATTTCCAGGACGACCTAATAGTCAAGTATTCTGTTCCTTTCGTTTCTAGATGGCAAATGTGCGTGTGATAAAAGTGCTGCTCTTCTTCGTTACATGTCGTGGCCTCGCACAACCTTTCCTCGACAGTATACACGAATATACCGATCACGATGGACACAAATGCACAGGTAAATCATGCAAGAGAGTAAAAGTATTAGGTTCTTTATTAACTTTCAAGCTTAAGTAAAAGCAAATATCGCACGCAGTTGTCCAGGAATACCAAATAAGCTATGCTGCACTGAAGGTGTTGCTTTGAACTGCGTTCACACACTAAGTCTTTTTTTGGACAGCATGTGAAGTCACTGATCAAAAGCTGAAAAAAGACTTGCGAATATAAACCTTTGATTCAACTAGCATGGCGGCTTAAAGGCGGGGCTTTGTGACCTGATTAAGGCCGCTCGCGTCCGCAACGCAGTCTGCGTTCCTCTCGCCGCCCGTGCTCTCCTCTCTAGCTTTAACTAGGTCACGAAGCCCCGCCTTCCAGCCGCAAAGCCATTTGAATCAAGGGTAGGTATATACGCCGAGGACAAACATCACGTGACCTCCTGGGAAAAAATAAAATGTATAAATTCAAAACTTCTCCATTCGAACTAATTAAATGCAATGAAGCAGTAGCACAATGTACCTGGTTCAGCAAACGCTCAGAGCTTTGATGAATAATAATCAGCCAGGTCCCTAACTAAATAGCCCAAGTTCCGCCGCAAAAAGTATTTCGAAACGAGGAACATGCTCCGAAAGGTCTATGCTGCTATGGTCAATACCTCATCATCCCATCGTCATCCACTGGATGGTCTGGAAGTGATGATTCCGAAAAGGACTCAGAACACCAAACTAAATTTGCGTTTATACCGTAAAACTCGGATTCTCGATGGTACTAGAGTCTACTCTCTGGCTCATTAACTTCAAATCACTTTCGTAGGCGTAATGACCCCAGCAGCCTAACTTTCTAAAAGCGATTTTCCCGCTTCGAAATACATCTTTGGCAGCGGACATGGGCAATACTTAGTTAGGGGCACTAGATATTGTAATGCCTCTAAATTTCAGCAGTGGTTCGGGTGATTTTACCTTTGAGACGGCTGTGGCTCAAGTGTTTTCTCATGATTCGCACAGTCTTAGGTTGAAACTAAAATTGAGTTTGAAAACAATAGAAGCTTCTCAATTACTGTTGATCTGTTCAAATCCATGGAAAAATCGTCCCTACCTTTTTAGGTAATCAAGAAGAAAAAATACAACGTTTTCCTTGCTTTGCACAACAACATCTGCAACACCATTCGAACACAAAAAAATACTTATTCTTGATAAGTATACATAGTTCTTGATGTTCTTGATATTCTTGATCTATAAGAATGTACATCTCTTGCAGTAGTCGAAAGTGATAATAATTGCTTTTTCAACAGAGATATGTGCTACAATACTAAGCTCAAAAAATTAGTAGCTTGTGCGCAAAAGTATCGTGCCCCTTAATTCTCAGATTGCAGCTTTAAGTAATTCGGAAATAGAAAATGGATCGTCAGTGGACTTGTGGTCGAAGATGGAGACAGAGAAATTACCTACGAATGAGATTAGAATGAATGTCCCAAGGAATGCTTTACCAGGACTTATAGAGTCCTACAATCCCACGTCGTTCGTCAGCTGCTACTTTTACGAATGGTCCCGGAATCAACTCCTCCTCAAATGGCCTTCTGTATGGAAGTTAGTACTCCGAACATTTTGTGAAGATGTTGGTTACGATGAAAGCCTTATAAATCAATTCACTGACAATGTAACAGCAGTAATTTCAACAAGCACGGCGGTACCCTTTGTAGAGATAATTGGTTTTTGTCCGTGCAAATCGGCTGAAAAGTGCTTGCAAGAGGGGAGCGGGTTTGTACTTACGAAATGCAAAACAATGACTAGAGAAACGGATTTTCAAGTAGTAAATATTTGTTTCATGAATGAGAGTCCGCGGGCATATCCAGAAACGTGGTGGAGGTGGTGGCCGACGTGGTGGCCGACGCCAACGACGTCGAAGCCAAGTACGCGAACTACTACTACGCTTAACACTTTTAAATCGAAAGATACAACACAACTCCCAAGATCTTCAACCAGCCACAACAAAGACACGACAACAGCAACAACCACACCCATCGTACTCCCTAATTGTACACAATTCATTGATGCAGCTCCCTCTTCACGCCAGCAAAGCGTGGCTCTGAGTTCGACTACCACAAGCACCACGAAAAATGAAATGACAACCATGGAAGGATTTACAAGCACACTTTCCATTTCGCCAACCTATGGCACCCTCTCTAGCGAGCAAACCGATATGGGTACTGAGGAAAACTTGACAGGTGTTGTAGCTAGTGATACAGCTTCATCGGGCACTTCAACTGGAAACTTTTCAAACGATTTTGAGCCAAGAACGGAATCAACTCGGTCAGAAGACGATTACACTCTTAGCAGTGAGATATTGAGTGAAGTTACACAGTTCTCAGCCACCGACGTAAGTGATTCTAAGCAAAGAGGAAAGAGCGAAACAATTTTTGGCACACTGAGTATCCAAACGACATTGAAGAGAAGATCCACAACGATCACGACAATGTTGGGGAGCAGATATGCCTACACCACTATTCCCTTTTCTGATTCAGAAGATGGAACCATCTCTAGAATTGAAGCAAGTGGCACGACAGTGGACTCTTCGGTGTCGTCAAGGAAAGTTACTGAGGAGGAAGAAGGGAACATAACATTGGAAACAACTTATGAGGAACATGCACCGGCAACTAAGAAGTTTGAGGAAAAAGAAGAGGAGAAACAGAGACCACCAATGACGAGTACACTGACAACAAATGAGAATCGTCATGTAACACATGCTTCTTCTTCTGCTTCTACAAGAAAAGAAACCACTAAACCCTCAACTTCGGAAGCCTCTAATCAAGTGGAACTGTCTGACCCTTTATCTCCAGAAGCACACTCTACATGGACAGATATTAGCGATTTTGCCTTGTCAACAAATCATGCGCATACAAGTGCACTGGAGGACGCTAATCCAAACAAGGATTCAACTACCTACAACTCAGAGGATATGACGACTGCAATACCCACCTCATCGCATGAGAGACAAAAGATAAGCACTAAATCTGCTACTCCAGATGCTGGTCAGAACACAGAAGGCATAAGCACAGCAGAGAACCGAAGTTTCTATCCTCAAACAGCGACATCGATATCTCAGAATCCTCTAGAGAATGCTACCAGCTCAGGCAGAAGTGAATACCCAACTTTCGAAGCAACGCTGACGGTGGAAGGGTCTACTTCTAATCCTGTGACTGGCAGCAAAAAAGTATCTGCCAGTTTAAATTTGAGTAAGACGGGAATTACCAGCTCAGGCAGAAGTTACCCAACTTTCGAGGCAGCATCGACAGTAGAAGGGTCTACTCCTAATCTTGCAATCGGCACCAAAGAAGTATCTGTCGATTCACCTGCGAGTAAGACGGAGTCTTCAAACTACAAAGAAACGGCTACGACAGAAGTCGAAGGAGAAAAAAGTCGTACAAAACGTACTGATCTAATTACTAAGACTTCAAAATCTAAGTTCGAGTCAACAACATCTTCTCAATCACTCGCACAAGCCCTTTCTACACCTGAAGTTTCGGTGGAGAGCATTAATTCAACGACCGGCATAGCGGACAAAAGACCAAAAACGAAACTTTCAACTATAGAAGAGGTAAGAAGCAATCCAACAAGAGCAGCGGATGTAAACGGCAAACTTCTAAGCTTCACATCACAAGGGCCTACATCTTCCTCCTTCCAACAAAATTCGATAACACCTTCCGCATCAGAATTTTCGAGAGGACACAGTTATTTGATAGCTATAATCACTCCAACAAGCGCTGATTTCGCTTCGTCGGTTACGGAAGAAGGTAATGGATCGGAGTTCGCAGAGGATGTAACCAGCAAAACATTTTCACCTACTTCAGAAAACAAGGCACCGGCATCATCATATTACACAACGGCGGCAACGCCTTCTGCGAGTGAAACTTCGATCGTTAACATTTTTTCAGAGGCTACAATCATTGACAGTAGTACTAGCACAGATTTCTTGTCTACGCTCACCGAAGAGAATACCAGCACACCATTACAGGATGCAGCCAGCGAAACTCCATCACCCACCTCGATAAACAAGCGAACGGCATCATCATATCGTACGACGGCAGCAACGCCTTCTGCGAGTGATACTTTGATCGTTAACATTCTTTCAGAGGCTACAGTCATTAACAGTAGTACTAGCACAGATTTCTTGTCTACTCTTACCAAAGAAAGTGCCAGCACACCGCTACAGGATGCAGCCAGCAAAACGCCATCATCTATTTCTACGAACTCAAAGGCATCATCATATCATACAACGACGGCAACTCCTTCTGAGAGTAAAACTTCGATCGTTAACATTCTTTCAGAGGCTACAATCATTGACAGTAGTACTAGCACAAACTTCTTGTCTATGCTTACCAAAGGAAGTAGCAGCACACTGCTACAGGATGCAGCCAGCAGAACTCCATCGACTATCTCAGTAAGGGAGTCAGAGGCACCATCATATCGTACAACTGCTTCAAGGCCTTCGGCGAGTGACACTCCGACCGTTAACAATCTTTCAGAAGCTACAGTCATTGACAGTAGTACTAGCACAGAATTCTTGTTTATGTTTACCAAAGAAAGTGCCAGTACACCATTACAGGATGCAGCCAGCAAAACGCCATCACCTATTTCTACGAACTCAGGAGCATCATCATATCATACAACGGCGGTAACGACCCAACCTTCGAGTGACACGTCAAAAGTTCCCATTTCCTCGAAAGCTATAGTCAGGGGAAGTAGCGCTACAGACTCTTCGTTTAGGCTCATCGAAGAAAACACCGGTACATCTACAAAGCATGTAACCAGTGAGAACCTATTATCTATCTCGAACAAGCCATCTATACACCTCGATCATACACTAAGATTAACCTCTCCTAAGATTAAAATCTCTACAGGATTTACTCGCCATAAGACTACAATCACAGACAGGAAAACCAGTATGGAACTGCTTGAGACCAGCACATCTGAGTATCGAGAAACTACAACGTCCGCCATATCAGATGAATCTGATGATATGGCTTATATATCGAGCAGTGTAAGTACGGCTAGCTCTCAAATGGTTCGCTCAACAACTCTAACACTCAAGTCAATATTGTTTACCAAATCCATTCCTGCACAAACCGGCTCATTTTCAATGAAAAAAATACCTGCCAGTTCATCTTTGCCTAGCACCTATACGACCAATGGAATGTCAACTTCCTCAGCGGAAGAATTCGCAGCTTCAAGCATAGGAACTGAATTTGTGTCACCTATGACCGATTCCAAAGAGCTCGGCAGGATGAACCCGGACACAACCGCCTACACAAAGGAGTTAATGTCATCAAGATTGCTCAATTCGAGACTTTCGAGCAAATTCTTCTCAAGTGACACAAGCAAAGCGAACGGTCTTGCTTCTTCTTCGCAGATACAAGAAGATACGACTTCTGCTTCCAGTTCAATGGGAACAACCAACTTTATCTCAACAGGGGCCTTCTCAACAGATGACAAACATTCTACATCGATGCCCTTCACAAGCACCATCACTTCTGGTCTTAATTCAACAAGACTGTCAGAAAGGCCTAGTTTTCTCACCACAGCACTACTTTGGCTTTCAACTGCATATTTGAAAACTCAAAGTGATTACAACGCATCTTCTTACTCTGCGACTAACTATTCAACAACAGCCAGAGGACGTACATACTTTACGCCTTCTACAGCAGAAATCGCTATTCCAGTCTCTACCGAGGAGACAAGCCGTTCCTTTTTACAGGAACTATTCACGAGCGGACTAAATACAATATCCCAATTTCTGCAAAGCTCATCGAACCTATCGCGAAACTTTCAGACAACCACAGCAGTGTTGAAAAGTAGTAATGACCTCACAGAACGCTTCGTACAAGTTGATAATCAATCTCGGTTAACATCCTCAAAGATGGCAGGAACTTCGACTTTTCTAACTCTTCCACACAGCAAGCCAACACATTTGATAAAAGATACAACCACGGAAAGGTGGACTACTGAATTAGGTAGTATTAAGAAACTTTGATGATGATTGCAATGCTTAACAGAGCATTCTGATTCTAGCGCAAAGAGATCGATGTGCATCTCCATGTCCTTCTGACTACGAACAAGGAAACGAGTTCTGTTATAAAGTCCTTCATGCGAAAAAGTCGGTAACGTACAGAAGGGTGAGTTTTGGGAGCCTAAAGCAGATTAAGTTCTGCCGCAAGCTCATCAACAATATAGTGATTTTAGTGAGAATTTGAACCTCCGGAGTTGATCGCGTAAAATGAACTTCAATTAGTCTTTCCTCTGAAAAATTGATTTGCGTTTATTAACAAAAGATGACTCTATAGTAGCAATAAAGAGCTGAACATGTCACAGAATTTTCAGTCAGAAGCATTTCCGTGCTTTTACACGAAATAAGAGTTTCTAGCTGTCTCAGAGATACTTATCGATGCGATGTTTTCAGTAACAAACCAATTGTGCTTAGCACTGCTGAGAAACTGTACCAAAGGTCTTGCATATTGAAGGTCACCGAGGTTTTGCATATTGAACTCTTGCATATTTTGAGCCTTCCATGAGGTAGAACTCAAATCGATGTTCAAATCGCGTAAAGATCGTTATTAGGGCATTTACCGTTTTCAAAAAAAAGAAGCTCGAACGAGAGTTTGCATGGAAGCGAAACTTATCGCATCAACAGCGCCAAGAAATCATTAGGCTCTTCCGAAGTTAGCTTCGCTTTGGCTAATACCTCACAAAATGAAGCTCCTTGAAAGCGTTTAAGGCCCGTATGCACGTACATCCCCGCGGGGAGAGGAGGGGATCTGAGAGGGGAAGCGTCATATCCCGCTAGTCTATATATCTTTCTTCTTCTTTCTCTGTCTTGCTTTTGAAGGTTCTCACACGCTGATACCTGCGCATAACGGATGCCAGCTTACTGCCATACAAGATTAGATGTTCACTATTTCGTCTGATCCCCTGGGGATCCCCAGGGGATCACCTCACTTTTTCAAAGTCATTTATCTTCCTGGAAACTCAATGAAAATGCTCTAAAATTGTACTGAGGATATACTACAGCACTGCTAAACATGTTTATGGTAAAAATGAGTGAAATATCAAGATATCAAAATCTTCGATGAACCGCTGCTCGCGAGCTAGGGATTATCGAGAAAATCAAAATCTTCAGATTCCATTTCTTCTGTCGGAAGCATGCTCAGCAGTGCCGTAGTATTTCTTCAGTACAATTTTCCAGCGTTTTCACTGAGTTTTCAGCAAGATAAATGGCTTTGAAATGTGAGGTAATTCCCTGGGGATCCCCAGGGGATCAGACGAAGTATTGAATATCTAATCTTGTATGGTAATGTCCTGGCATCCGTTATGCGCAGGTATCAGTGTATGAGAGCCTTCATAAGCAAGATAGAGAAAGAAGGAGAAAGATATGTAGATTAGCGAGATATGACGCTTCCCCTCTCAGATCCCCTCCCCTCCCCACGAGGATGTACGTGCATACGGGCCTAAGCCCCGTATGCACGTTCCTTGAACCCCGTTATGCCAGAGGGGAGGGGAGCGATCCCCTCCCTTGCACCTACAGCGGGGATCGTGTCGTTGCGGTAGTCGCATCTGGCTCACGGCTACCAGAAGACCTCGGCAAAAAAGCTATTTTCAGCCAATTTTTGTGTACAAGAATGGCTTTTGGAATAAATTGTACAAGAATAGTGGTTTCCAGAGTCTTTATTCCTTTTCTCCGTCCTCTCCTTTCTCTCCTTTCACCCCTCCCATTATTTATTTATTTATTCAATATACACCAAAAGTGTGCCAAAAAGAACACAAGTAATCAATAGCAGGAAATATTATCACACGAAATGTTACACAAGTGTTCATGATAGACAGGTGAGGCAGGTAGAATCTGCTCCGCCCGAAGTGCAGGTCGTTCTCTTTCTTCTGTGGCGAGTATTCCTCTGCCGAAATCTTGTTCCCTTACCCGGACGCGTTGGATGACCGCACTTACCAGGGCTGGCTGACCACTTAACCCTTTGCGGACGAATCCGCCAGGGACCTTGGGCAAGCGAGAAGGGGGATTTCAAGGAAGAGGGGCGCGCCAGCTTTAGTTTCCTCAAACGGCTGAGCGAAGAGACTGCAAACCTGTCTGGATATCCTAACTTCCTGTAAGACAAACCGAAACCGCCAGTTCTCCCACAAGGTCTGAAAATCCAGTAACGGCTAGGACTTAGTCTTGTTTTAAGTCTAAGAATGCGAAAACATAGGACTAAGTCATTACATATGCGTCTATATTTCAGGCTATGCAATTTAAGCGTAGCCAGTCTAGTATTGTACGATGGCAGAGTTTGAGGATAATCCGGTCTGGGATAACATCTGTAGTAGAGAATTCTGGTAAATGTTTTCTGGACCTTCTCTAACTTTTCAATGTTCTTCTTTACAAATGGACTTCAGACCGGTGACGCATATTCTAAATGTGGCGAAACGTATGTATTATAGAGCCGCACAAGGAGCACTGGGTCATTGCTCTGAATGCTTCTTAGTAGAACGAACAGCGCTGACAGAGCCTTTTTAACCACTGAATCAAAGTGGAAATTGAAATTTAGCTGATCGTCTACAAAAATGCCAAGATCTTTTGTATTGCTACAGCGCTCCAGGACGACCCCGTCGCAAAAATAGTCACGAAATTCAGAGTTGCCGATATGGAGCACTTTGGATTTAAGTGCATTATCGGGAAGATCCGACTTCTTAGACCAAAAAATCATTTTTCCTATTGCAGAAGAAATCGCTGTATATGCTTTAGAGTACTCTTCCTCATTGTAGCAAAAATAGATTTTGACATCGTCAGCAAAGACTTGAATTTTGATATTTGGATGAGTTCTAAGCATAGAAGGCAACTCTACGGTATAGGTTAAGAAGAGAAGAGGAGAAAGTATCCCTCCCTGAGGGACTCCACTATTACAGCAAAATCGCTTCGAATAACTGTTCCTAACTCGAAAGTCATGCCTCGATCATGAAGATAGGACGCAAGCCAAGACAACAATTGCCCTCGGATTCCGTAATTCTCAAGCTTGAGAAGTAATTTGGAATGATTGACTCTATCGAATGCTTTGGACAAATCAAAAAAAAACAACATCAACTGATTTTCCTTGGTTCACCGCGCTAACCAATCAAACAGGGAGTCCGAGAGTAAAGCTGTAGTTGATCCTCCAGGAAGAAACCCGTTTTGGGCAGATGGAAAAACTTTATTGCTGTCTAGCCAATCGAGTAAGCGCTCCTTGACAATTTTTTCTAGAACTTTGCCGCAAGGTGCGGTTATGCTGATGGGGCGGAAATTCGAAATAGTAGTGTTGTTTTCGCGTTTGGGAATAGCTGTTATTAGCGCTTCTTTCCATATTTTAGGAACTACTCCTAATGATAAGGAAGCATTGAAAATAAGTGACAAAGGGAAGGCTAGGGTATGCGCACATTTCCTATAAATAATCTGAGGCAGTCCATCATATACTACAGAAGTGGATCCCTTGAATTTTCGCAGAATATGGAACACCTTTGTAGGTTCGACGAATATTGCTGCACAACTCATACTTACACGATTGATAGCGCAACAAGAAGTTGGTAAACTTTCAACATTTTCGGAATTAGATAGAGTGAAAAAACTGGCGAAATACTCTCCCAAAGCCCTCGCCTTGTCCTTGTCACTTATGATAGAGTTACGTATTCGTCGATCAAGAACGACAATTTTTGCTGCCCTTTAGCTCTATAGTTGAGCTATTGTAAAGTTTCCTGGAGTTGCCGCTCGCAAGTCGCCTTTCCCGATTGGCTAGATATTTCTTAATGTGATGCCTAAGATCTGTACATACTTTCCGGTAAAGCTGGCTATTCAAGGGATCTTGGAACTAAGAAAAAAGCTTGGATTTTTGCTCTAACAGATTCTGAATGTGTGAGGGATATTCTTTAACTTTAGGGGATTCAAAACGAAAAGGCACATGTTTGGGCAGTATTTGGTATAATACTTTACAAAAACGGCAATATAGATCGTCCACGGATTCCCAGTTATTGAATACTCCGTACCAGTCGACATTTTGTAAGGCACTGTTGATTCCTGAGAAATCAGCATTTCGAAAGTCTGGCTATGGAATGTAAGCAGCCCTACTTGAATTGAATGCGGCGTCAAAACTTCTAACGCTGTGATCTGAGGTCCCGAAAGGGGCATGTGCCTTGACGTTGTGAACTGTAGTCAGGTGCAAAAATCAAGTCAATGGTTGAATTTATTCTGGTAGGAAAGTCGACGAACTGTGAGAGATTGCAATAGTGGACGAGTGAAGAGAGTTTGTTATCAGAATGAGGTGTCAGAGAAGAGAAATCAATGTTGAAGTCGCCAAGTATGATTGGCACAATTGGAAGTGAACAGAAATTGAGTAGAGCATCAACTAATTCACCATCGCTGCGAGAATCAGATGAAGGAGGGCGATAGACAACGATGAACTTCAAAGATGAGAGAGAACAACTGGACCAGATGTTGAGGCAGAGGAGGTCCCAGTAGTGATTTTGCGTAACTCCTATTTGTTCGACCACAAACTCATCCTTAACCAGGCAGCAAACCCCTTCTCTCCTCCGATGTTTCCTGTCCGCTCGGTAGATGGAATAAGAAAAATCTGCAACAACCTCAGAATCGCGAATTTTGTCGTTCAGCCAGGTTTCGGTGATACATACGATGTCCGGTTGTGAGAAGCTAAAAATGTGTGAAGAAGAAAAACTTTGTTCACTAAGCTACGAGAGTTAAAAAGAAAACAACGAAGTGCAGAGAAGTTGGGCGGGGCTACGAGTTTCCCTGAAAAGAACGCTTAGGTAAATCCGACGTGCGGCGAAGCTCACCACGGTATACAACCCATTCTTTGGTGACCTTGCCTTTATTCCTTTCCCTGGCTTCTTGCCTTAGCTCGAAGTCTTGGGCGCGTTCTGCCGCCGTCATGCTTCTTCGGACGAAGACGTTCTGCAACTCAGAGCGACGTAGAAGGTAAGCGTTCGAAAGCGCCTGCGTCCAGA